AATATCCTTTTTTGATTTGCATGAATTCAAAGAGGAACCTCATTGTAAAAGTGGAAACAGGAAGTGTGTGTGTGTGTGTGTGTGTGTGTGTGTGTGTGTGTATCTTTGAAAACCAACTGTTTGGGGTTAAGCGATATTGCTTCGAAAGAAACACTTTCACCAAAACTTTGACCTGCTGCACACTGACTCAACGCGCAATTCACACTCATATTGGACTCGTTGGAGTGGGGAGATAACGAGGCTGAATATTTCTCAATCTCTGACTGACTTCCAAAATGACAAATTTGCTGGTTGGTTAGTCTTAATACTTTTATTAGAATATAAGGCCTATAGTTGGGTTACAGTGTTTGGCAAATGTTCTTTCAGTATATTTAGAGTACTTTGTCATAAACAACCCCCCTGACCCCCCAAAAAACAAAAAAAAAGAAATAAATACTGCATCCTGTAAAGACTATTGCAGTAATAGGTTTAAATAAAACCTTGGCATTAGCCCAGTCGAACAGTTTTTCTTAATGACATACATACTTTTGGTGTACATTATTTAGCCCGTGTTTAATGGTCTATGCTTTTGCTGTAGTTTAGATATACCACTGACATTTGTGGTGTTTATGTCCACTATATAATCAATCAGCACACAGCGGTGTCTTCGATCGGGCTGCAGTGGTGCCTGACTCAAAACACTGGATTACAAATCATCTTTCCCCTTTGAAATGAACTGGAAATGTCATGAAACAGATCGATTCTATTCCTTCATTAACAATCCTAAAATAAAGTCATGGGTCTATACTAAGTAAAATAACTTTCTGGAGTAATAAAAACATACAGTAATAACAATTAAACTTGTCAAGAATAATTTCATGCTTTAATAGGTTGTGCGATTCCTTCTGGTGTGCGTGCCTTGCCCATTAGGCAGCACTATAATAAATACGTATGTGTCAATACCTAGAAGATGGACATAACTGTTCCTTACACTGCTGTACTATTAGGGTTTTTTGCAGAGGATAAAGAATATATGCCAAGGAGTATTGTTATTGTCTGTCTACAAGAGTCGCTGCACTGTTAGAATTGAAATATCTGTTCCTTTTATGGTTAAAACACTGACGATCGATGGTAATTTTGTTAGCCCATCTTTGCCATTTTGTGTCGTGTGATAGCATCATGCTCAAAGACTTTTGTAAAACACAGCTAGGTTTGTTTAAATAGAAGAAAACATTTAATCGGCCTGAAAACTGTTCAAATCAAATGACTCTAAAAAACTGTTCAACTCAAATGACTCTAAATCACCTCTTCTCACAAAGAGGCAATAATTCTATGAGAAGGCCACGAATCATTACTCAAGCCCAATTAAGCCCACCATAAATGACAGGACAGTTTGGTGCAGGGAATCAAATGTCTTTCTTGTTTAGCGTAAACTCTGCCCCGTCCAGTGGCATGTTCCCCTTTGTGCAATTGGAATAGAGTACCACAATGTCACATTCTTTCTATTATGTCATCAGCATCATACCTACAGTAGCTAAATTAGGCTGTACACACTCTCAATAATGAAAGTCAGCCAGACTCCTTTTCATGGGCATGAGCATGAGCATTATTGCTCCTTTAACATCCACATGTTGACAACATTGAATTGGTGCTTTGCTGACTTGGTGCTGCGCCTTCAAAGTAGCAACAAAATAAAGGTCTTATTTAGCAAGTGACACTAAACAGCCCACAAACAACATATGGCAATCAATCACTTCAAAGGTGCATGAGCAGAACACCTGACAGGTTTGTGTTCTGTTGGATTTAACACGCCGAACCATGGCAAAACAAACTCAAACATTTGGCCTTGTATTCATATTTTGATGAGTAGGCACATCCTATTACTATCTAGTTAAGTAGAGACAAAAGCATTTCCAGAAACAACCAGATTGCCAGTTGAGAAAAAAAAAAGATTATAAAGTTTTGTTTTCTTTTTAGAAAATGTAAATTCAGTGACCAAATTGTGTTATGTCCACAAAGAGCCTAACAATAATCTGTGTTCGAGAGCCCTTCTTTGCAGAGATACTACATCAACCTCCAAAGCGTGGCATATCAAACTACTGACTAGACAGGATGATTATTGCACAGGTGTGCCTTGGGCTGGCCACAATAAAACGCTAGTTGCAGAAATAGTCTTTGCGTTCTGTTCATGAAAAATGGGAGCAAAAACACGTGTTTATATCTTTCTACAGTTTATGCAACCACCGGTGCTCATCTTCAGCATCACTGCATCCTGATATCTATGTGAGACTTACCTTTCATTTAATATACGGTATATATATGTTGTCATACATACGCATAGATGCATATTTTCTTTGCATTGACTGCAATATATTTGTGCCTCTTGCTTTGCACTTTGGCCAACTCCTTATCAGGTTGAACTGAACTTCTGCTATCAAAATAAACCAACCAGATTGTGCACACACACAAAAAGAAAATAGTTCACCACGTTTTAGTTCAATCGAAGAATTGGCTCATGTAGTTCACAACATTGGGATGGTACTAAGTTTTACGAAGCACCTTCTTCTCAGAAAAAAAAACAACACATTAATCGAACCCCAAGCCTGGCGAATGATGCTGGAAATAGATGTGCTATTTCGAGACAAATGTTCTTACAAAACACCCACTAACCAGGATTATTGTGTTCTGGAAAAGACAGAGTGTGTGGTTGAAGGCACAGAACCACGTTTCAATATGTTTTTGAATTATACCACATTTAACAGCTCAGAGATGAAGTCCTCCGGATTTTCCCGGAATTTCGGGTTTTTCAAATTTTTATGAAAATCTCTCCGGAGAATTGAGGAAAATTTGCCTAAAATTAATCCCGATATTAGTTGACAACATTGAACAAAGACGCGTTTGAGCTCGTTGTTTTGGTTTCACGAGCGTAGCCATGTTGAGACACTAACACTAGTAACAGTGAAGAGATTTTCGTCTCTTTATAAACACACTTGCTAAACCCCAGTGGAATGAATAAAAGACACCGTGGACAAGACAGTTGTAACAAATATACTTGGACAAAAAGGGAAACACACAGATTGGCAGAAAAACGTGTCCGTCCAACTTCGAGTGTCATCTCGGCTAGCTTAGCTGAGCTGTTGTC